CTTTCTCCCGTTTATCTTCAAATGAAGAGTACTTCGGCAATGGCTACGGAAAATAAACAACAGAGATTTACCATAGAGAAATCAAAATTTGCTTTCACAAGAAAATTAGACACTTTAGAGAAAAATCCTGAAAAATCTCGAGGGTGACTTTTTTTTAGTTTACAAAAATATTTTAATTTTTATTCAACCTCGTTTTGTTAATTCACACGAGGCAAAAGTTCATTTGCATTTTTAATTGGACAGACTATAGTATCAACTGGCCATGACTAGTGACAAGGTTATAATTATTGTGACCCCATAGGTTGTGTGCAGCAATTTAAGTTATTACAAATCTTACCAAAATATATATGCATAAATTTTATGAATCATGTAGGCCTCATTAATGACAGCCAAGTTGTTATATTACATCAGACCTTCAAATGTGTATACCAAAAGCATTTTTAGTATAATACTAGAAATGTGTCATCATGCCACGGATGCCCCCGCATGCAGCCAAAATTTCAGATGTTATAATATTTAGTTCCAAATTTGTTTGCACAAATTATTGTTTTCATTTTAAGTTCAAAGCCCTTAAAACTTTTCAATGTTAACACAAACCATTTCCATACAATGTTCAAGGCACTGAAATTATTCAGTCTTAACCTTTTGAAAATAGCATATTTCATATTTGTAGCCAAAATAATGGCTACATATATTTCCACAAAAGTATGAGTGCTGAAACTGAAAGTTCAAAATTTTTCCAATATTCAAGAAAGATAAGTTTGTCGAAAATCATTGAACCACGACCAAATTCAAACTTAAACTGCTTATTCCTAAGATGTATCTATATTATTTTCAAAGTGAAAGGGACATAACTCTGCCAAAAAAATCATCGAACCATGACCAAATTCCAACTTGACCTGCCCATTCCTTTGACATATTCATATGTCAAATTTGAGTTGAATATGTAACACTGTTGGGTAGATAATGAACAGAAACTGTAAATTTCATATTATTTTCAAAGTGAAAGGGCATTACTCTGCCAAAAATCATTGAACAATGAACAACTAGAACTGGGCCTGGGCATTCCAAAAACATATCCATATGTCAAATTTGAGTTGAATGTGTTGTACTGTTGAGGATATAATAAACAGAAACTGAAAATTTCATATTATTTTCAAAGTAAAAGGAGCATAACTCTGCCAAAAATCATCGAACCATGACCAAATTCAAACTTAACCTGTATTTTCTCATGACATATCCATATGTCAAATTTGAGTTGAAAATGTTGTACCGTTGGGGAGATAATGAACGGAAACTGAAAATTTCATATTATTTTTAAGTAAAAGGGGCATTACTCTGCCAAAAATCATCGAACCATGACAAAATTCGAACTTGACCTGTATTTTCTAATGACATATCCATATGTCAAATTTGAGTTGAATGTGTTGTACTGTTGTGGAGATAATGAACGGAAACTCAAAATTTCATATTATTTTCAAAGTAAAAGGGGCATAACTCTGCCAAAAATCATCGAACCATGACCAAATTCAAACTTGACCTGTATTTTCTCATGACATATCAATATGTCAAATTTGAGTTGAAAATGTTGTACCGTTGGGGAGATAATGAACGGAAACTGAAAATCTCATATTATTTTCAAAGTAAAAGGGGCATAACTCTACCAAAAATCATCGAACCATGACCAAATTCGAACTTGACCTGTATTGTTTCATGACATATCCATGTGTCAAATTTGAGTTGAATGTGTTGTACGGTTGGGGAGATAATGAACGGAAACTGAAAATTTCATATAATTTTCAAAGTAAAAGGGGCATAACTCTGCCAAAAATCATCGAACCATGACCAAATTCGAACTTGACCTGTATTTTCTCATGACATATCCATATGTCAAATTTGAGTTGAATATGTGCAACCGTTACTAAGATAATGAACGGAAACTGATGATGACGGAATGACAGAATGACGGAATGACGGAAGGACGGAAGGACGGAACAGGGTAACACTATATGCCCCGGCCATTACATGGCGGGGGCATAAAAATATCAACCAAGGCAACTCGAGTTGTTGAGTTATTGTTCAGAAACAGTCTTTACATACAAGGTCAATATGACATTGACCCCTTGACCCCAAAATCAATAAGGGTCATCTACTGTTCATGACCAATCATCATACCAAGTTTGAAGTTCCTAGGCCTAAGCGTTCTTTAGTTATTGATCAGAAACCGTTTTTACCTACAAGGTCAATGTGACCTTGACCTTGGACCCCTTGACCCCAAAACCAATACGGGTCATCCGCTGGTCATGACCAATTATCATACCAAGTTTGAAGTTTCAAGGCCTAAGCGTTCTTTAGTTATTGATTGGAAACCGTTTTTACCTACAAGGTCAATGTGACCTTGATCTTCGACCCCTTGACCCAAAATCAATAGGGATCATCTGCTGGTCATGACCAATCACCATACCAAGTTTGAAGTTCCTAGGCCTAAGTGTTCTTAAGTTATTGATCAGAAACCTTTTTTTACTAAAAGGTCAATGTGACCTTGACCTTTGACGCCTTGACCCAAAATTCAATAGGGGACATCTGCTGGTCACCACCAATCATCATACAAAGTTTAAAGGTTCTAGGCCTAAGTGTTCTTTTAGTTATTGATCAGAAACCATTTTTACCTACAAGGTCAATGTGACCTTGACCTTTGACCCCTTAAACCCAAAATCAATAGGGGTCATCTGCTGGTCATGACCAATCACCATACCATGTTTGAAGTTCCTAGGCCTAAGCATTCTTTAGTTATTGATCGGAAACAGTTTTTACCTAAGAGATTAATATGACCTTGACCTTTGACCCCTTGACCCCAAAATCAATAGGGGTCATCTACTGATCGTGACCAATCACCATATCAAGTTTGAAGTCCCTAGGCCTAGGGGTTCTTTAGTTATTGATCAGAAACTGTTTTACCTACAAGGTCAATGTGACCTTGACCTTTGACCCCTTAACCCCAAAATCAATAGGGGTCATCTGCTGATCATGACCAATCACCGTACCATGTTTGAAGTTCCTAGGCCTAAGCATTCTTCAGTTATTGATCAGAAACAGTTTTTATCTAAGAGGTCAATGTGACCTTGACCTTTGACCCCTTGACCCAAAAATCAATTGGGGTCATCTACTGATCATGACCAATCACCATATCAAGTTTGAAGTCCCTAGGCCTAGGGGTTCTTTAGTTATTGATCAGAAATTGTTTTTACCTACAAGGTCAATGTGACCTTGACCTTTGACCCCTTAACCCCAAAATCAATAGGGATCATCTGCTGGTCATGACCAATCACCATAGCAAGTTTGAAGTTCCTAGGCCTAAGGGTTCTTTAGTTATTGATTGGAAACCATTTTTACCCAAGACGTCAATGTGACCTTGACCTTTGACCCCTTGACCCCAAATCAATAGGGGTCATCTACTGATCATGACCAATCACCATACCAAGTTTGAAGTTCCTAGGCCTAAGCGTTCTTTAGTTATTGATCAGAAACCGTTTTTGCATTCAAGGTCAATGTGACCTTGACCTCTGACCCCTTGACCCCAAAATCAATAGGGGTCATCTACTGGTCATGGCCAATCACCATACCAAGTTTGAAGTTTCTAGGCCTAAGGGTTCTTTAGTTATCACTCGGAAACTGTTTGGTCTACGGACCGACAAGTGCAAAGCAATATACCCCCTCTTCTTCAAAGTGGGGGCATAAAAATAGCACACAGAAATTATAGAATATGACCTTTAAAACAAATACTCATGTTATGTCTCATAAGCTATCAAATCATTCTGCAAGGTCTTTTGAAGGCAATTAAGTCAATCTGCAAGGTCTCATAGGCAATTAAGTCAATCTGCAAGGTCTCATAGGTAATTAAAGTCATTCTGCTAGGTTGCATAGGAAATTTAGTCATTCTGCTAGGTCTCATAAGCAATTAATTCATTCTGCAAGGTCTTTTGAAGGCAATTAAGTCAATCTGCAAGGTCTCATAGGCAATTAAGTCAATCTGCAAGGTCTCATAGGCAATTAAGTCAATCTGCAAGGTCTCATAGGCAATTAAGTCAATCTGCAAGGTCTCATAGGCAACTAAGTCATTCTGCTAGGTCTCATAGGCAATTAAGTCAATCTGCAAGGTCTCATAGGCAATTAAGTCAATCTGCAAGGTCTCATAGGCAACTAAGTCATTCTGCTAGGTCTCATAGGCAATTAAGTCATTCTGCTAGGTCTTATAGGCAATTAAGTCATTCTGCTAGGTCTCATAGGCAATTAAGTCATTCTGCTAGGTCTTATAGGCAATTAACTCATTCTGCTAGGTCTCATAGGCAAATAAGTCATTCTGCTAGGTCTTATAGGCAATTAAGTCATTCTGCTAGGCCTCATAGGCAATTAAGTCATTCTGCTAGGTCCCATAGGCAACTAAGTCATTCTGCTAGGTCTTATAGGCAATTAAGTCATTCTGCTAGGTCTCATAGGCAATTAAGTCATTCTGCTAGGTCTTATAGGCAATTAAGTCATTCTGCTAGGTCTCATAGGCAATTAAGTCATTCTGCTAGGTCTTATAGGCAATTAAGTCATTCTGCTAGGTCTCATAGGCAATTAAGTCATTCTGCTAGGTCTCATAGGCAACTAAGTCATTCTGCTAGGCCTCATAGGCAATTAAGTCATTCTGCTAGGTCTTATAGGCAATTAAGTCTTTCTGCTAGGTCTCATAGGCAACTAAGTCATTCTGCTAGGTCTTATAGGCAATTAACTCATTCTGCTAGGTCTCATAGGCAATTAAGTCAATTTGCTAGGTTTCATAGGCAAATAAGTCATTCTGCTAGATCTCATAGGCAATTAAGTCATTCTGCTAGGTCCCATAGGCAATTAAGTCAATTTGCTAGGTTTCATAGGCAATTAAGATATTCTGTTATCTAAGGCAATTAAGATGTTCCATCAGATAAAAGTTAAGATATAAAGAAATGGGTAACTGATAACTTACCTCCAGCTCCAAGCTTAGCCTGTGCCGACTCGCTGAGCTTAAACCCGGCTTCATGATTGATCTGAAATAATATTTGGAACCATCTCTTAAAAATAATACTCATTTGTTTAAATATGAATGTAAAAAAGCAAATGCAGTTGATGTGATCCATTTTTTATACGTGCTGGGGTTATTTTGGGAAACATGTTAGAGACTTGAACTCATAACCCCTGGGTTCAATGACAGACACCTTAACCAACCACTACAACACTGATTTTCATTGAACTTGATACTGTTTATTGATGACATTTAAGAATTTCAAGATCAAAATTCTTTCAAGCAAATGCTTCTATATAAATCTATTTCTTAGTAACCTGTCACAAAAAGGGAAAGATCAATATGTTGTTATCGGGCACTAATGCTACATAAATCACATTTATGAAAACAATACCGTTGACTAGAGTGTAATTAGCCACATTAAGACACGTAGCTTATATTCAAACATTTGTTTTAACTTTAAATACTTTATACTTTAACAAAAGAAAAGAAAGAAAAAAAATTCTGTTCTTATCTAAAATATTTAAGATGACTATCAACGTGGCTAGCAATTTATCTAATTGTACCGTTTTTGGCTAGTGGTCGACCAAAACTTTACAAACTTGGCACGGATTGAAAAAAAAAAGATTCACGCCAGCTTAAATGCTTAATATAGTTTATTATCCTATATACTCTTGTCAAGTCAGCTGGCACAAATTTAATAAGATTAATACATACAATGGCAACCATTCAATGTGTACACGTACGTATTTTGATATGTTTGAAAGGCAGTACGGTATATAGTGACCCTTCAAGTTAAACATTACTTTCAAGAAAAAAAAATCAAAAAAATCTATTTACGACATATTTCGTCGCATCAAATTTTATGTAAAAATTTAACCTCACAGTATTGTTAGTGATCTATGTTTCAAACTAGGAGAGTTTCCTTGACCCTAAACAAATGAACTTCCTTTTGACAAGTATTTTTTAAATGAAAAATCATTCAAATATAGAATAATTTATACACATCTTAAGAACTATCACCACATCAGATTGTTTGTTTTGTTTGTTTCATTTTACACCTTTTCCCAACAGTATTTCAGTCATATAGGCAGACCACATCAGAATCGGACAGGGTATGACAAAGAGCATTAAGCTACCCCTTACACCTCATTACAATGATAGGGAGGAAAACTTACACAAGACAAATTGGCTACCAAAATTTTACTTAATGCATCAGAAAGAAGTGCCAGCTCAGAATAATAAAACTGCAGAAAATTTATCCTTTACCCCTATGTTTTTCCTTGAACTTGAATATAATAACAAAGTGATTCCTGCCTGGTACAGAATTAAGGGAATAATTTGAGACCTCCCAATTGCCATTGCTATACCAGCAAACAGACTTTAACAACACATGCACTTGATGTAACGTATGCCATTGTGACAGCTTTATGTCGGGGCTCTTCCAAGCATTCCTAACTAAAACGACCTTGTGGGAATAACTTTAACGGCAGAGGAATTCCTACAATGCTGATTAGGTTCAGTTAAAACATTATTCTCTTTGATTACTTTTAGAGAACGTGCAAAACTGCAGAAAATTGCCTTCAGCTTCATCCCGCATTTGTCTTAATTCCAAGCCACAATTGCATAACATAATATTTTTTTTGCAGAACATTAGCTTAAATGAAAGAAAGACAAAAAATGAATAGGAAAAAAACATTTACAAGCCAAACTCTTATGCATTTTTCATTAGGATGTCACACAAAAAGTACACTGCTTTTTATAAATTCAAATGGATTTTCCTTTCGGAACTCCACTACAGAAATTTAGTACTTGGAGACCCGCACAATCACCTTCAATTATAATTAAGTTGTATAGCAGAGAGAAATCTTGGGAGAAATTGCTTCAATTAAGAGAGGATGCTTACATACATTCACAGTATGTCACTGTATTTCAACTCATTCATCTGGTCTAAATCCCCTGATATATACTTTTGTTTTTTTGGTTTTTTTTTTTTGTTGGTCGCATTTAGGGTTATAATTACAGGGAACTTGGAGCTTTCCTTTCTGGTGGAGGAATGCCTGAAGTGCATTTCTGTGCATTATTTTTGGCACAAGCAACTACCCAAGTAGAACCAAGTACATTATGTATAAGCTAGCTTGGTAGCTCCTAAAATAAAACAAGAACTGTCGGAGGACAGTAACGCTCGACTATTCCAAAATTTGACGCAAAGGGTGTTTCATTGAGTATAATAATGCTTACCTATATGAATACATAAAATTGTCCGAAAAGGTACAAACTTAACCAAGAATTTCTAAGTCGAAAAAGGGGCATAATTATGTTAAAAAGCAAATCAGAGTTATGGGACTTGTGCCAATCATCTTAGATAATCACAGAGAACAAGTGTGTGAAGTTTCAATCCATTCTCTTCAGTAGTTATGGAGATACCAGCTTACATACAAAAACTTAACCAAGAATTTCTAAGTCGAAAAAGGGGCATAATTATGCAAAAAAGCAAATCACAGTTATGGGACTTGTGCCAATCATCTTAGATAATCACAGAGAACAAGTGTGTGAAGTTTCAATCCATTCCCTTCAGTAGTTATGGAGATACCAGCTTACATACAAAAACTTAACCAAGAATTTTTATGTCGAAAAAGGGGCATAATTATGGTAAAAAGCAAATCAGAGTTATGGGACTTATACCAATCATGTTAGATAATCACATAGAACAAGTGTGTGAAGTTTCAATCCATTCCCTTCAGTAGTTCTGGAGATACCAGCTTACATACAAAAACTTAACCAAGAATTTCTAAGTCGAAAAAGGGGCATAATTATGAAAAAAAGCAAATCAGAGTTATGGGACTTGTGCCAATCATCTTAGATAATCACAGAGAACAAGTGTGTGAAGTTTCAATCCATTCCCTTCAGTAGTTATGGAGATACCAGCTTACATACAAAAACTTAACCACAGGGACGCCGACGCCGACGCCGACGCCGAATAATGGGTGACTGCATTAGCTCGATTATTCTGCGAATAGTCGAGCTAAAAATCCAAAGTTCCTTGCCATAGCTTTGAAGGGCAAGTGGTTTTAAGACAAAGACCTTTACTACTTAGCCACATGAGCCCCTCTATTTTGATGCAGGTTTCGAATCCCCAAATCTCAGATATTTAACGTTTAATTGCCCTTTTAATTTCAATTTCACTTTTAATTATTTTAAGTTTGAATCACCTGACTAATTTAATCCCTGAAACATTTTCATATTTCAATGATCTGTCCATTTCTTGTCTGAATTCCCCAATAGTTTCACGGAATGAATCCCCTGATATATCATATTGGTTGGGGGAGGGGGTGATAGGGGGCACCTGAGGTTCAACTTTAAGGCAGGGTAGGTACATTTCCCAAATTAAACTTGGTGCTAAACGTCATTTGTACTATACGTGTTATCATGATATTTTGCAGCTATTGCTAATGTCACAAATCAATGAGCAGGTAAAAACAATACCATAAAAGACGTCATACCTAAACATGTCAGCAATATCCATTTACAGATTAAATTTCTGCTATATACCTTTACACATAGAGACTATCAGTAACAATGGTGCAACTATTATTCAGGAGCTATCACTGGTACTGACAGTATCCCCTGTTTGTTAGGTCTCATTTCACATAAAGCAGTCATCAGCGTGATCAATCATAAATAGATGACCTAGCTCTTGGACATTTGGTCACATGGATTTGCTGGAAATGATTTCAATCAAAGTCAGTTAGTGGCGGCATGGCAGAGTTGTTAACATGTCAGACTAGTAATATAATGATAGCTAGCCACATGGGTTCAAACCCTGTCAGAGGCAAGTCATTGTTTCATTGAGCAAGAAACTTTACACACACTGCTCAGTACTGGTTAGTTCAAGGAACGGTTTCGAAAGTTTGTCTATAAGCTTATAGCCTCCTACAAAATCGAACTAAAATATTTCTATGATAATCCAACTAGACATGACTTTTTGTGTTAACGACTTTCTATTTTTCATAAAATAGCCACCGTGTAGATAAAAGACATAGTGAACTTATTGAACAGACTAAATATAACCAAGACTGCAAATTTCATACTGAGGCTATGATTATCACCTAGTTACTTTCTATTTTTAACATTCAGGAGATATCCTTGTCTTTCCAGATTTTAAAAAAAATGTGTACTCGGTGTGTAAATGAGCTGTGCCATGACAAAACCAACATTATGGGTTTCCGACCAGCATGGATCCAGACCAGTCTGCACATCCGCGCAGTCTGATCAGGATCCATGCTGTTCGCTTACAAACCCTATTACAAGTAGAGAATCTGATAGCGAACAGCATGGATCCTCAGATCAGACTGCACAGATGCGCGGGCTGGTCTGGATCAATGCTGGTCGCAAATGCATTACTTTGGTTTTGTCGTGACGCGGCTCAAATATTTTCTTAACTGTATGCCCACTGGTGATATAATCAGATAACTTATACCACTGATAGAATTGTAGTTTGTATATAACACCTCTTTTATGACTTTAATGAGCATAATTACTCATTTGTATAATTAACAAAAACCTTTGGGGGAAACATTATCTCTCGTAAGTGTAAAGTTTCATACGGCTCAATTATTGTACTACACCTATTCAACGATAATATGATAATATTTTGCGTACAAAAAAAAACACACATAAAGAAAACAAAGGACTTTAAATAAATTGCGTATGCGCAGATACATTCATTATATATATTATATACATTACAAAAGTCACAAAAGAAAACGAAATCAATTACATGTATAACTTAATATCTGTATTGTAAAAGAAGTGGCAAAATATCAAAAGGGACAGTTTCTAGTAATCATTATGTACAAGGAAAATTATACTTCATTATTAATCATTCAGAAAATGTTAAAATCGCGTCAAACAAATCAACCCACGCGCATGAATTCGTAAAATCATTTAAACAAATAGCTGATTACTTCAATACTGTATATTGAGTATTCAGTGGAACAATGATGTAACTGTCTGTTTTAAGTTCCTTGTGTTGCTACTGTAGGGATACTTTGGTAATATAAAGATGTTTAAAAGAAGTAAGCGACATGATTCAAATTACATTTTATGAAAAATTTAAAATAATTTTCTATTTTCTTCAAATGTTGTCAAGTGTGTAATTAAAGTGGAGAAACCTAGCCTAAGATGCTAAAAAGCAACTATCCAAAACTGTCACACTAATATTTTGTGGAAACAGCTATATTGTAAGCAATGGGATACAAATTGCTGTTTAACCTGCTATGCAACTACCACCTGTATTAACCTGTAATAAATGACCAGTTTTGCCCATAGTATATTTCTGTATACATTTGTATATTAATATTTTTCTATATATATTTATATATTTTTATATCTATATATGCATAAGGTGACCAGCCGTGTTTGACATGACCAGGCTATTGCATAGAGTCATCCAATCTGCGCAAATAAGGAACCACAATGTGAAACAAACAACAATAAAATGTTGACAAAGTTCTCTGCATTAACAATATTTGCACACTTGCATACTGCAAATTCTGTAAAAGTTAATATTTATACATTTCTTTAATATGCTCCCTATAGATTTTACTTTTAAGTCGGGCTTTTGAAAATTTGTTTACAAATGTGGAGGCGTGCAGCTTTAAACATCATGCAGAAATGCGTCATCGGCTACAAACTGCAAGACAAGTGCAGACTGCAAGAGTGTAAACAGACTCTTCATTAACATCCACTGAATGCATTTTTCAAGGAAATTTATTGTCGCTAAATATTGTTTCCCCACCCACTTTTAATCCCATTTTATCCCATTTACAATTCTGATATCAACTTATTCTGCTACATATTCTGGGATCACCTATTTTTAGTTCAAAGGGATTTTTGTATTAAGAAATTAAAATCGATCCGAGCTTATGAAGATATATAATACGAGGAGGCAGTGTATCTGCACTGTGGTGCTGCCAGATCTGGCTATAAACTGGTGACATCTGGTGACATATGCCTGTCATTACCACACAGCAGAGTTATTATGTCACTGACTTTATTACCAGCACATGCTTCTTCTACCCAAGTATCAGCCTACTGCCATACCACATAAAATTTGCTTCAATATGTAACCAAGAATTTTGTAAAAGATCTAATATACCATTTTCCAGCTAAATCAACAACAGTTTAAGTTTTTACTTCATAAGAGCTAATGAACTTACAGTTTTTTTCCCAGTATTTTGGGAACATGACCCAAACCCTTGGGATTGGAAGTTTTAGAGGTGTTTTGCTAAAATTTGGGAAAAATATTTTACTATAATTTTCAAACAGGAAGGATTTGAATAACAACTTAGTGGCCTTGCTAATAATGCTGTTAGTAACTCCTTTTCCCTCAACCTGATGGAACAGGAAGTTATTAGCTGCACATCCATGCAGTACAACCAGGCAGTCATTGAATTTAAGATTTTGAATTTACTATATATTTAACTAGATTTTCTTAAAATTTACACTGGCCGGAACTAATTTTTACTGGCCTGATGATGGGCCACCGGGCCAGTGGCAAATTCGATGACTGTGTTGATTGCTTTTCATACTGAAATCCCTCTAAATTTTGAGTAGACTGTTATGTAAAGTAGGGCAAAATAAAAACCATTATTACACACATTTTATAGGCTAAGATATAACAGAGATGCCTGGGTAATACAATCATCATTACAGAAACCCTTACCAGTTTTATATTGGGCGTTGCCGTCGGCCCCTCCTCAAGGCTTTGCTTCTGTAGTTTGTTGGTGAGGAGGTTAACGTCCAGGGCCAGCATCATTGCTGGTTACCGTGGTAACTCCCTATCGCTATGGTTACTTCATCATGAGATCAAATGAACCAATCCAAAATACTGATCTATACCCACACCTGAAAGTATAATAATCAATCTTTTTTTAGAAAGTAAATTCTATGAAACAGAAAATATTTTTTTATATTTATGTTTCAGTTTTGAATCAAAACCTTTTTTTAAACAAGTGAACATTGAAATCGGGAGCAATGTGTTAGCATGTGGTGTAATGAATTGCACTAGTTCCTCTTTGCTAGTGAAAGGCAATTTCATCATAAAACATGGACTTTAACAGATTCTTGAATGAATATTTAAAGTGAACAAGGCAAATAACCTTATCAATAAACAGTGAACAAGGCATATAATCTATCAATAAACAGTGAACAAGGCAAATAACTACAATATATAACAGTGAAAAATGCAATTAACCTATCATTAATCAGTGAACAAGGCATTTAACTGTATCATCAAAATAGTGAACAAGGCAAATAACCTTATCATTAAACAGTGAACAAGGCAAATAACCTTATCATTAAACAGTGACCAAGGCAAACAACCTTATCCTTTAACAGTGACCAAGGCAAATGATATATTAATAAACAGTGAACAAGGCAATTAACCTATCATTTAACAGTGAACAAGACAAATAACACACCAATGAACAGTGAACAAGATAAATAAAAATTAACCTATCAATTAACAGTGAACAAGACAATTAACATATCAATAAACAGCACACAGGGCAAATAACAAAATATCATCAAATAGTGACCAATGCAAATAAACTATCATTAAATGGTGAGGCAAATAAATTATCAGTCATTCACCAAAATTTAAGTGCTGCATCATTATCAATTTACTATACTGTTAAAATAACAATCAAGTATAATAACTTCCTTAATGATAAATAAATATACCAAAGTAATAAGATATAACTTTATCAGTATTGTAGATTTTGGACATTATACAATCAATTAGGTTTTTAAACAATCCCCATCCAGATATAGAGCCATTTCTGTCATAGGTAGAATTTGACATTCTGGGACCTCAAAAATGTTGTCATGGATTACGAAAAAATATGCTTCTTTTGTAATTATCTTATAAATTCAGTTAGCAATATTATTTATCATGGGCCAAGGGAAGCCATATCATTGACTTAGTATCCAAGGAATATATATCATTTAGTATCCAGGGAAGAAATATTTTTATCAATGGTCCCCTATGTATTATATTGATTAAAGTGTCCAGGGAAGCAATATCATAGGTGTCAATATTTTTGTTGAAGATCCAAGAGAAGAAATTTTCTATAATGTCTAAGGAAGCAGTGTCTTTGACTTACTGTCCACAGAATAGCAAAATCTTGATAACTTGAGGGAAAAGAAGGCAGGACCCGATATCACTGATTTAATGTCCATTGGGAATCAATGTTTTTGAAAAGAGTCAAGGGAAGCAATTTAAAGTATGTCTAAAGAAGAAGTGTCTTTTATTTACTGTCCACAGAATAGCAAATCTTGATAACTAGAGGGAAAAGAAGGCAGGAAGCAATATCACTGATTTAATGTATAAGGAATCAATGTTTTTGTAAAAAGAGTCAAGGGAAGCAATTTTATGCAATGTTTAAGAAAGAAAGGTCATTTATCTACTGTCCACAGAATAGCAAAATCTTGATAAATAGTGGGAAAAGGAGCAGATTTAATGTCCATGGACGCAATATCCATCTTTCTGTAAACCAAATAAGGAAATTAAAGGAATCAATTTTCATGCTCTTAATGACATCTTATTCTTAGTGCAAAAATAATCAGCAATAATATTTATTATCATTGTGTGAAATAACACAATGAAATCAAAAACAACAAAACACACTGTGGTTGATATATTACCATTTTTAACATGGAACATGAAAGAAATGATATCAATTTCTGTAAAAATAACTCACCTGTTGTATAAAATTGCTCTGATTTACAGACAGAAAGGGCTTATAACTTTAGGAGTACTGTGAACATAAATGAGCCGTGCCATGACAAACCAACATAATGGTTTTGCGACCAGCAGGAATCCAGACCAGCCTGCGCATCCGCACAGTCTGATCAGGATCCATGCTGTTCGTGTTTACCAATTCTATTACAAGTAGAGAAACTGCTAGCAAACAGCATTGGATCCTGATCAGACTGTGCGATGCACAGCCTGGTCTGGATCCATGTTGGTTGCAAACTCACTATGATGGTTTTGTCGTGACGCGGCTCAAATCTAATCTCATTCAGTTTGATATGACCGGCCAGCAGTGTATCTTTATTTGCTTAATTGATTACATGTTGGTATCTTGTTTCCCTTCTGGTTATTGTAGATTATTATTACTTCATTGGTCAATACTGGAATCAATATCGTGATATTCCAGCTTACTTTGGTAAAATTTATCAACACAACCCAGTCCTATATCATTTTCATTAACATTATAAAAATTTATAGTAGCTCTTTTGTAAATAAACCTCAAAGCTCGAAGATATGAAGATAACCAGCTTTAAGTCTGCCTCCTGGAAACAGGGCTCAGCTCGCTCTCAGTGCTGTTAGCCGTTTTACCCATTTTATATAAATCTTAGCAATTTGACTAAAGAAATTATAAAATCATACTTGTATGTGGCTTTAATTAAAGATATTTCAACCAGGGTGAACATTGTGGAAGTAAATAGTACTGGTGTAATATTTAGAAATTTTGTAATAATCTAGTCAGGGCTCGAACCCATTGTCCCTGGTAAGTCAGACTCTAACCCATTGTCCCTGCAGTCAGGGCTCAAACCCATTGTCCCTGGTTAGTCAGGGCTCGAACTCATTGTCCCTGGTTAGTCAGGGCTCAAACCCATTGTCACTGGTTATAGAGGCAAGCACCTTCACAAGCGCTATGACATAAATCCCTTTATTTCACTACTGTGTGTTACATAAGTACACTGGTATTTCTATTTTCTCGACAATAATTGTGTTATCGTAAAAAAATATCAACACAAGATTTTGAATGTTCAAAGGTTTTCCCAAAAAAATTTTTTAATGAACAACTAGTCAATATTGTAGAAAAATTCACTGATACTGTGATTTTGAACTGTCTGTAAATTTTGTGGTGAAAGAAAACACCATTTTGGTTGCGAAAGGGTACATTCATGACAGGAGAAAAAAATACTCATAATTTCCCTAAAGAGAATATTAAGTACTCAAGTAATTTAAATATTAAAATTGATAAAACTGAGTACCATAAAATATTGAGTTTAGTCCAACTTCAAGGTTGTGCATGCTAGCCTGGCTTTAAACTGATAGTAAAAACACGTCATTATCACACCAACACCCTAGGATTAATGGTGTTTTAAGGCCTTCACAAAAATTTTGACCGAATACTGTAAACATAAATTTTGTTTATCTTGAGCCGGGATTAAAGGGTTTTTCAAGCAACCTTTATCATTGTCAACTTACACATTTGAAGCATGTATTAATCTCTTTATTAATAGTATCTACCAGTTTGAACTATTTCTCTATAATAAGCACTTCGACATGCCTAGCCAGCTAGAGTAAGGAGCATACATGTATAATGAGAAAGAAGTATAGAAAATTGGTTTGCATGGGTTTGAGCCCTGCTGGGTGGGGTAATTGCAATTTTTCATTGACGATGTATCTTCACGACGTTTTTTTAATTTATAATACCATTTTTTCCTCTAGCAAATTAATGCTAATTTTCAGTGACAATTTCTACCTGACATTTTTTATAATGCCATCTTTTTTCCCTCTGCTATTAACAATCTGGCAGTAATTTGCATAGAGACAGGTTCAGTATATACTAGTAACACACTCAATATGCTAAATCCAAGGTACCCCTGCTGAACTCTCAAGAGTGAGAAAAAAACTTTGTCACCAGAGGCTCTTAAATTAAACCAACATTTTTATTTGTGCTGCATGTTTGGTGACCTTTTCCTAATATTCTCACCCTACAAAATATTTTCATGTTTTAGAACTGGTTTGATTGAATGTTTGGCCTCGTTTTCATACATAGGTCATTTTCATTTTTTTACAATGCTTCTAATATAGCAAGTTATAATAAAATTTATAAAATTCTATTCCAGTTTTAAGTTAATAACAGCCACTCTGATCTGCTATGTGTTTTTATTTCTTTTGTTTATTTATTTTTTTTTAAATTAATTCATTTTTTTTAATTATACATTAAATATAAAAAAAAATATTTATTTTTACAGAATTTTAGCAATTATGACAGTAGGTAATTATCAAAATCAAGTTATGTTATGATTTAATGTAAATTTATAACGTACTTGGTTTGAAGGAGAAAAAAACCATGTGTTAAAAGTTATATTCCCCCCCCCCACACTCCAAAAATATAAAACTTAAAATAAACGTTAAGTTAGTAATATCAAATTACAATTGGGGGTGATTTAATTCTTTATTGTATGTGTTCAAAAATGTGTTTGCAAATGCTAAAATACACAAAAGAACAAAACATTTATTTACCTGCTATCATTTAATCCACAGATTTCTAGTAAATGTCCAAATAAGCAGTACAGTTAAGTAACTTTTCAATTAATACGTTGAAAAGGTACAATACAAAGGTACGATAAAAAAACAACTATTATTCCAAATAACCTACAAAAAAATGTGTCCCACATGCTTTTGCAACTATCATGCTCGATGTATATAGTATATATTAGCCGAACTATTTTCTTGTGTCATTACTGCAGTGAAATATTGGCAAATATCGTCCCCGATATAATCTCCCTACATCCAGGCATTAAACTAATAAATCCTGCGTGTAAACACTAGTGTATTACACCGCTTTTGCACTAATGCTTTAATTTTTTTATCATTTTTACTATAGTACTTTTGAGATAATTCAATACCGTGTTAAATCCAACAGTATTTCAATGGTACATAAGTCATTATTAAGTAATTTAAACATAGCAAAGTCAGTCAAACGCCACAATTTGGCAAACAGAAATATGTTTGTATAGAGCTATTTAAATTATTGATCTCTCAATTGAAGAGGTGACCTCAGATAAAATCTAAATATGGCATGTCACCAAAAAAAATATAAAACAAGAAACATGGCAATGCCATGAAACCAGGTTTTCAATTATCACCATTGTAGATAAATATGTTGTATTTGAAATACAAATACAAGCAACAAACAATGTAACTATGTGCAATGTAAAACATGAATAATGTAGGAGGAATTGCCACTGAAGAAGTTGTGTTCCACTATAATATTATGTATAAGGAAAAAAACAAAGGGCCCATAATTAGGTCAAAAACTATCCAATCACAAAACCCCGACAAATATGTGCCAGGGTGCTTGATGACAAAGCTTCTGTGAAAGTTTGAACAAAATCCGTTGAGAAATGTAGGACGAGTTCAGCACAGAAGAATTTGTTCACTATAATTATATTGATAATTCTGTATAATGAAAAACAAGTTACAAAGTAGAACATGAAATAATATATCATATCTTTTTAAATTACCTCCAAAGATGATATGACCTTTGACTGTCCCAAATCAAGTTAAAAATCATGTAAACAGGATTTTCAATGTTAATGTCACTGTGACCTTGACCTTGGAGCCAGCCATGCGGAACATGCGTTCTGCACGTCATCTTGATGTGGTAAACATTTGTCTGAAGTTTCATCAAAATTCTTCAAAGGGTTTGAAGAGTTACAGAGCGGACAGGATTTTCAAATGTTAATGCAAATCAATGTAAACAGGATTTTCAATGTTAATGTCACTCGTGACCTTGACCTTGGAGCCAGCCATGCGGAACATGCGTTCTGCACGTCATCTTGATGTGGTAAAACATTTGTCTGAAGTTTCATCAAAATCTTCAAAGGGTTGAAGA